CAGAGCGGATTATGATGAGCGTTGTGGACTGTGATGAGTGGACTATGATGAGCAGATCAGATTATGATGAGCGATGTGGACTGTGATGAGTGGACTATGATTAGCAGAGCAGATTATGATGAGCGGTGTGGACTGTGATGAGTGGACTATGATGAGCAGAGCGGATTATGATGAGCGTTGTGGACTGTGATGAGTGGACTATGATGAGCAGAGCGGATTATGATGAGCGGTGTGGACTGTGATGAGTGGACTATGATGAGCAGAGCGGATTATGATGAGCGGTGTGGACTGTGATGAGTGGACTATGATGAGCAGAGCGGATTATGATGAACGGTGCGGATTATGATGAGCAGAGCGGATTATGATGAGCGGTGTGGACTGTGATGAGTGGACTATGATGAGCAGAGCGGATTATGATGAGCGGTGCGGATTATGATGAGTGGACTATGATGAGCAGAGCAGATTATGATGAGCGGTGTGGACTGTGATGAGCAGAGCGGATTATGATGAGCGGTGTGGACTGTCATGAGTGGACTATGATGAGCAGAGCAGATTATGATAAGCGGTGTGGACTGTGATGAGTGGACTATGATGAGCAGAGCAGATTATGATGAGCGGTGTGGACTGTGATGAGTGGACTATGATGAGCAGAGCAGATTATGATGAGCGGTGTGGACTGTGATGAGTGGACTATGATGAGCAGAGCGGATTATAATGAGCGGTGCGGATTATGATGAGCAGAGCGGATTATGATGAGCGGTGTGGACTGTGATGAGTGGACTATGATGAGCAGAGCGGATTATGATGAGCGGTGCGGATTATGATGAGTGGACTATGATGAGCAGAGCAGATTATGATGAGCGGTGTGGACTGTGATGAGCAGAGCGGATTATGATGAGCGGTGTGGACTGTCATGAGTGGACTATGATGAGCAGAGCAGATTATGATAAGCGGTGTGGACTGTGATGAGTGGACTATGATGAGCAGAGCAGATTATGATGAGCGGTGTGGACTGTGATGAGTGGACTATGATGAGCAGAGCGGATTATGATGAGCGGTGTGGACTGTAATGGAATTCCACCACCAATCTGCCCCCTCTCTTCACCACCACTCTTACCTGTAGCCGAATGCTCCTTCCCCTCTGCAGCTGCCATTATACTGTCTGTACTCCATACACAGCAGCACAGCCCTGTGCTCAGTATTTTGAATTTCGCTAGCAAATGGCAATCAATCATTGGTCAGCACGGTCACCTGTCCACACTGACCAATAAGAAGAGCTTTTTGCTAAGTTCTTCTTTGCCATTTGTGAGCAGAATTTGAAATACGGACAGCAGGGCTGTGTATGGATAGTCCAGCGGCAGCTGCAGAGGGGAAGGGCCGTTCAC